TTCACATCAGAAATCACTGATGGCTGTGACATTTCCTGTTTATTAATATGGCCAGGGATGTTTTCATATTACATTATCAATCAACAAATATTTACTGAAATGCTGGTATTTGTACAAGGGGAATATAAATAACCCAGTGAAGTGCAACAAAAGAACAAAATATATTTTGTAAATTAGAGAAAAGTATACTGAAAAAGCAGCACTTTGACATTCTAAGCATACTAAACAATCTATCTTAACGTAAAGGAACCAAACATTGTTCTTTCAAATTTTTACTGTCATAATTAAGGTCTAACATAACTAACATGGTATGTGTTAGTCACTCAGTCATGTCTGATTCTTTGTGACCCCTTGGATTGTAGCCCTCCAGGTTCCTCTGTCCATGGGATTTCCCAGGCAAGAATACTGGAGTGGGTCACCATTTTCTACTCCAGGGGATCTTCTTGACCCAGGGATTAAACCCAGGTCCCCTGCATTGCAGGCAGATTCTTTACTGAAAAGTGACCAGACTTGAAAATTACAAATGTTTTTACCTTATCTCATTACCTTGAAAGCTGTATCATTACTCTGGAAAAATCTCATTACTCTAGTGTCAAGAGTTAAAGAGTCACAAAATACTGGGATCCTGTGAAGTTCTCCTGGAGATATAGGTGGAATAGTAATTTTCTGATGCTAGACTTCTTCCAGCAAATCCCATATCCATCCCTATTTCTCCATCCCAGTGCCATGTGGGAGCCTGTCCAGGATCTCTGATGATGATATTGGAATTGTAATTAAGAAGTTATAGGGATAGAGGTGGTAGGAGTTTTTAATTCCTAAAAGTCTGAAGACGTGGATAGGACTATATCACAGGTCCTTTTCCAGTAAACTAGCTCCTAGAGTTTGCACAGGTAGATTATCTCAAGTGCACAGGCAATAAGACCAAAGCAGGTACAGCAACATGTCATGTAATCACATTTACTCTTACAAACCACAGGATATAATCATGAGCTAATAGCATGCCACTTCTATTTCACACATCCCAACTGACCTGAAATTGATCAATACTTGTGATATCCTGAAGATAGGTGGTCTGAATAGCATAAATAGAAGGCTTATTTGATGACAACCTTGTTCCTTAAATCACAGGTTTTTATTATCTTCTCCAAATGAAAGTAATATTCCTTTTTTATGTATCTAAACACTGCTAGATGCACAGAGGCAAAAGAAACTTGCTAAACTGCTGAACTTCAAGGATGCTTTCAGAAAGAGTAGGATATGACGACTTTCAAAAGATTTTAGTATCTGATTGTAGGAACAAACTAATCAGTAGATGAAGCTCTTTTATTTAAGCCAGAATGGATAGAACTGCAGCACTAGAGTTAAACACACATACACACATATATAAATACATATATATATGTGTGTATATGCTCAGTTGCTTCAGTCGTGTCTCTTTGCGACTCCTTGCACTGTGGCCTACTTGGCTTCTCTGTCCATGGGATTTTCCTGGCAAGAATACTGGAGTGGGTTGCCATGCCCCTCTCCAGGGGATCTACCTGATCCAAGGATCGAACCCACATCTCCTATATCTCCCATATTGCAGATGGATTCTTTACCGCTGAGCCACCAGGGAAGCAAATACATACAAATAATACACACACACGCACACATATATATCCCTCTCCCACAGGAGACATTTTTTAATGGAAGAAAAGCCATTTAAATTGAGATTTTTACTAAGTGAACCTCTCTGAAACAACAATAACATAATGCATGTAGAATCATCTGGCATAAAACTTCCATTATTTATATGGCTTATTCTGAATTCTAGCAACGTGTAACATTTTTAAATCAAAGGGAGATATCTTTGATTGAACTCCCGCAGGAGAGAGAAGTCACTGTCCTGCTAAGTCCTACTACGTGGGCAGATCTCGAAATAGTTCAATTCTATCTTTTTCATTGTATTGCTGGCAGAAATCATGGCATTTCCCCTCTTTTAGCCCCAGAGTAATTAACTTGTTCATTGACTTAGTACTGTCTAGGCTGTAACCCCTTTAAGGATATTTTCAAGGCAAATCACAACCAAATTTAAATTTGCAGATTCAGACAAAATTAGCAAGTCAGTGTAATGAGGGTCCCAATCATCTGAGAGAACCTTCTAACACTGCATATATGTCTTTGAGAAGAGAATATTTAATATCATACTATCTGCTAGACAAAAGTAGTTTCTATTCAATAGCTGTCCATCTTTCTATACACAGGGGAAAGCAGCATTTCTCTCTGAAAAATGCAGAGAATATCAATGGAGCTAATCTCTTTAAAGCACTTGGAACTCAAAGCAATTGCCTGGAGTTCTAAAGAGTCCCACCCTCATTATCTTAGCAAAGGAAAATTGGCCAAAATGCAAAATACTGCCTGGCTTCTGGGACAGAAATGCTCAAAAAAAGTTAGAATAAACATTCACCAACTCACTTCTAAGCTCAACATTTTGAAACCTAATTTACTTCCCTAGAATAAAAGAGTCAAATTATGAACCTGAATCTTTCTTAACACAAAACGAGGAGTAAAAGAGGTACACAGTTGAACTATATTGGTCAGTATCAGATAAATAATCTATTTATTTATGTCTCAGATAATATTATAGTCCAGGAAATAATAACTTTTAAAATATACTCAAAAATGCCTAAGAATTACCAAATTATGAGTTATATCATAGAGTAAGCTCTTTCCTAAGCATCTTATTTCACGTGAGGATTTTCTCAGCATTCTAATCTACAAAAGATAGGTGTCTCTAGAAACCATCAATAGGAGAAATTCGAACACACCTTTCTAAACCATGATTATTTAGTTTTTTAAATGACATGAAAGGTTTAATTTCTGTATCTCAAAGGCAAAACGGCTCTGATAAAGTAGCCGCAGTTTGGGTAATACACTTGCTCAGGCTGCCTTGTCAGTTTCCCACTGCTAAGATTTCCCACCAATAACAACAGATCCTTTAGTGTTTATTGGGATAAATTAGAGAGGTGGATGAAGGGAGGTGGGTGTTTGTTTCCATTTGCTCGCAGATAATTTCAGCCAGCATATCTTTCCTCAGACAGGCCCCTGCACAGGCCACACAGAGTAAATAAAAAAGAGGTGAATCAAGCTACCACTCATTATATAAACTTGATACAAAGAATTATGACCACGAGGAAGATAATTATGCATCTTGAAGTGTTTTAGATGCGGGCTTGAGAGATTGACGAGACCAAGATTTTCCAAATTGCAGCTTGAAATCAATAAGTGGGTCATGAAAGAAATGTAATGCAGCATTAAAAATGATATAACCCAGAAATTATCTATTTATATGTTTATACATATTTATATAAATAGAAATATATATTATATATCTGTATGCTTAAGATCATGTTTTAAAGTTATGATGCAAAATAAATTTCCTGCTGTGGGCTGTCCTTGTAACAAAGTTCTCGAGAAGTCACTGCTTTACTAAAACTTTCCAATGCTTTGGCTTTCTCCTTCCTATTCAAAGTATGACCTAGGAGACCCTTCGTGGTCTAACTCTTGTCTATCTCTCCAAAGTCATCTCATGCCAATCTCTGTCTTATTCATTTTGCTCCAGTTAATGCGGATCTTCTCAACCTTATTCTACCTCAAGGTCTGTCTACTTGGAATCCTCTTCCTAGAATGATCTATCCTAAGACCTGTGTGTGACTTACATCCTCACTTCACGCCTGCTATCTTTTCTCAGAGATCATCCCTGAAAATCTTATCGGAAATATTGTCTTTACCCTTTCAACTCTATACACTTAACCACAGCTTTATTTTTCTTATATCATTTACACATGCCTCTGTGTGTGTGTGTGTGTGTGTGTGTGTGTGTATGTGAGAGAGAGGGAGAAAGGGGGGGGTGAGGGAGAGAAAGAAAAGGAAATAAAGGTACATACAGAGATAGAGAGACAAATAATTAATTTTCTTTCTCCCACTGGAATGTAAATGTTGGAGGACAGAGACTTAAGCCTTTTTTTTATCATGTTTATATGAATTATCTCATTAATGCTCACAAAAAATAATAGGTACTGTGTTTTGTTATCCTCATTTTACAGAGGAGGGAGTTTAGGCATAGGAAGATTAAGGAACATGCTCAAGGTTAGAGAACTAATAAGTGTCAGAATCTGGATTTAAAACCCATCAGCCAATCACTGTAACTCTGGAGGCTGTTGTTCTTAACTGCTCTACTGCTTATGCATGCAATTAGAATGAAAAGAGGCCCAATATAAAGTGTAAAATAACTGTATCATTAGAATACTGTAGGACATATAGTTGAATGTGGTGATCAATAAGATAGAAATACAATGCAAAACCCTATATATATATATATATATATATATATATATGCACACATATAAAGTATTTTTACTATGTTTAGTAAAAAGCAATTCTACATAATTAGGGCTTCTCTGGTTGCTCAGATTGTAAAGGATCTGCCTGCAATGTGAGAGACACAGGTTCAGCCCCTGGGTCTGGAAGATCCCCTGGAGAAAGAAGTGGCAGCCCACTCCAGTATTCTTGCCTGGGAAATCCCACAGACAGAAGAGTCTGGTGGGCTACAGTCCATGGGGTCAAAAAGAGTTGGACACAGGGGAGCGACTAAAACTTTCACTTTCATACATATAATTATATACAGTAATTTTACATGAAGTTTCATGAGAAATAGAAAATTTTTAAACTCTGATTTGTGATTTCATGTAATTTACTTTTCTTTTATATATCTTTCATATTGCTCTTTTGAAAATGACAGTAATAATCATGAAAAAAACATTTAAAATAACAAAAAATACACATCTTAAAAAATAATGCTACCTCTGGTCATATAGAAGGACTCTGAATGTTATTGTGGTCTAGGAGCATCAGTAAAATACCCTTTTCTTTCTACTCCAGTCCGGAACCAGCTGAGGAACAGTCACAGGAATTATAGAGACAGAGATCAAAATAGTACCTTTAACGTGATACGTAGCCTCATGGTATCCTAACAGTTTCTACAACTAACTCTGTCCAGTCAATTATTGAGAGTTGCAAAAACTCTGGCTTCTGTTCCTGGAGAAGCAATGGATGAAAAAACCTGTGTTAATCAGAGACTAGGTCAGCTCCTTCTAAGCATTTCAGCTAAGCAACACAGCCCCTGCACAGGAGGAGAGGAGAGGGAAGGGCAGAGATGGAGTACAGAGGGACTAGGAATATTTGAGGACTCTTTCCTCCAGGAAAAAGTGAAGACTAGAGGGTTTAAGTGTTAACCGCTCAGAGATTCACCTGTTTCAGATGAATCCTATTTATCTTCTCTTATGCTCATTTCTCTCTGGTTCAGGATAGGAGAAGGGGAGCACTTAGAAGATCACTAGGATTAACCTGTCCAACCACAGTAAGAAGTTAAAAAGATATCAGCTCGTCACGGTTTCATACCAGCATTATTTATTTGTATATTAGTTTTTGTTTCTTTCATGTACATGTAAGAATTTTTTTTCCTTTTTTGTATTAAACATTATAACATAGTTAGTTTAAGAAATTTAGATAGAACAGAGTGAACACCTCCCTACCTCCTCCCCACTCCCCTACACCGCCCCCACCCCATCCTCCCCACCACACAGAATTCCTGCAAACATTTTGGCAGCTCTATTGTCAGGCTCTTTATAAGCTTCTGCATCAGTTAATGTCTTGGAAGGAAACAAACAACACATGCTCAGATAGAAATTTTAAAAAGGCTTATTAATGAATGGGCCGTTTACAGAGGGGAGTAAACAGAGGAAAATTTAAGAAAATAAATACATAAACTAGGAGCAATGGAAAGTTGTTACCTAGGCCTGGAGGAGCAAAAAGTGGAAATGACCTACATGGAACCTGTCTGAAAACTGGAGCCTTAGAAGTGAGGCTACTTGACAGGAGCTATAGATGTCTAACAATGCAGCCTTCCTTACAAACGCGTCCAAGGTGGGATCAAAAGGAATAAATGCTCCAAATTCTCCTCCTGCTCTGTCTTCTCCTCTCTGTGCCTCTCATGATTTAGTCGCTAAGTCATGACTGACTCCTATGACCCCATGGACTATAGCCCATCAGGCTACAGGATTTCCCAGGCTAGAATGCTGGGGTGGGTTGCAATTTTCTACTCCAGGGTATCTTCCTGACCCAGGGATTGAACCCAGGTCTCCTGCACTGCAGGCAGATTCTTTACCAACTGAGCTACAGAGATATTTGCGAGGTTCAGATTCCCATGCTTCTCATGTGTCAATCCCAAACTGAAATCAATGGGCAAATATCTTCCAAGGGAATGGAGGAGGGCAGAGAAGAGCACGGGGTGGAGGAGCAAGTGGAGGGACAGAGCCAGTGAACAATGAGCAGTAAAACATCCATCTCTCTGTTTGCCTGCCTACCCGTCTGTCTGTCTAAACACTCATTGTGAAATTATGTCCTATATTCTATCTTGTCACTACCTTTATCTTCACTATGCATTATGAAAAACTATCTTTGTACTTCATTATATCCACACATGATATTTTAATGGTTACATAGTATTTCACTGCATGAGATTTTTTAACAAGTCTTATGCTTATATATTTAACTTATTCTCAAATTATCTTCAGTTATTATCCTTATGGCAACCCACTGCAGTGTTCTTACCTGGAGAATTTCATGAATGGAGGAGCCTGGTGAGCTGTAGTCCACAGAGTCTTAAAGAGTCAGATGCGACTAACACACACACATTATCCTTCATGACTGGTGTTCACAGATACCCTTTTGAATTGTTTTTGAGGATTATTTATAATTAGAATAATTCAACACTTGGAATGAGAATCTCTAATAATTTCATCACATGAGAACACTAATTGACTTTGAATTATAGCAAATAAAGCTTTGTTAACACTAATTGTACCTTCATTACTGAAAACAGGAGGGCAGTATTTTAATATGATTGACTGTACTACTGTCCACACAATATTCACTACTGATTATAATCAATTGACTGTTTCAAACTCCAAAATTGGGTCAAGGCTTTCTTACAAGTAGCTACGTTTAATTGGAAGTACAACTTTGGGAGGAAAAGAAAACAGTAAAAAGTTATAGGATACTTCAGATCTAGGCAGAATAATGGCTGTAACAAATCCAGAAATATAACTTAGTTCAACTGTCTTAAAACAAACTGAATGTCAACTATGGCAAACACACACACAATAAAAACCAGTACAGATCAGTTCAGTTGCTCAGTCATGTCCGACTCTTTGTGACCCCACCGACTGCAGAATGCCAGGCTTTCCTGTCCATCACCAACTCCCAGAGCTTGCTCAAACTCATGTCCATTGAATTGTTGATGCCATCCAACCATCTCACCCTCTGTTGTCCCCTTCTCCTTCTGCCTTCAATCTTTCCCAGCATCAGGGTCTTTTCCAGTGAGTCAGCTCTTCACATCAGGTGGCAAAAGTATTGGAACAGAGCAAGAAATGGAGGAGTAGAAGGACATGCACTCATCTTCTCCTGTGAGAACTCCAAAATTGCAACTTGCTGCTGAACAACCAGTGAAATGAGAATGTTGGAGTCCACCAAAAAAAAGACACCCCATGTCCAAGGGCAAAGGAGGGAAGCCCCAGCAAGATGGTAGGGGGGTAAAATAGCATTTGGGTTTAAACCCCATACCTGCCAGAGTCGCTTGAAAGGCTCAAACAAAACCTTGTGCACACCAGGACCCAGAGACCCCACAGAGACTGGGCCAGAGCTGCCTCTGAGTTGTTTGAGTGTCTCCTGTGGAAGGCACCAGTCAGCAGTGGCCTGCCATGGGAACAGGGGCTCTGACTGCAGCAGACCTGGGTCACACAGACGGTGGCACAGGCCCTCCTGGAGGAGGTCGCCATTAGCCCCACCTTAGAGCTGCCGAGCAGACATCCCACAAACTGCAGAACAATTATACCAAAGAAATTCTCACAGTGTTAGGGAAGTTCTAGGACCCACAACAGATCTCCCAATGGAATCCAGCAAAGGGACTGAGAGGCCCCGGGGAATTTGACTTTGGAGGCCAGTGTGATTTGATTATGGAACTTCCAAGGACTGGGAAAACAGACTCTTGGAGGGCACAAATAAAACCTTGTGTGTGCCAGGAGCCAGGAAAAAGCAGCAGCATCCCCACAAGAGGCTGAGCCAGACCTGCCTGTGAGTGTCCTGGAGTCTCTGGTGAAGGCGTGGGTCGACAGTGGCCTGTTGCAGGGTCAGGGGCACTGAACACAGTGCGTGCACATGTCATTTTGAAAGAGGTCGCCATTATCTTCATTATTCCTACCATAGTTTGGTCTCAGGTCAAACAACACTGAGGGAACACAGCCCCACTCATTAATAGAAAATTGGATTAAAGATTTACTAAGCGTGGCCCCGCTCACCAGAAAAAGACCCAGTTTCCCCCACAGTCAGCCTCTCCCATCAGAAAGCTTTCATAAGCCTCTTATCCTTATCCATCAGAGGGCAGACAGAATGAAAACCACAGTCACAGAAAACTAAACAAACTGATCACAAGGATCACAGATTTGTCTAACTCAATGAAACTATGAGCCATGCCATGTAGGGCCACCCAAGATGGACGGGTCATGGTAGAGAGCTCTGACAGAATGTGGTCCAACGGAGAAGGGAATGACAAACCACTTCAGTATTCTTGCCTTGAGAACCCCATGAACAGTATTTAAAAAAAAAAAAAGGTACACAACAGGTTAAAAGAGAAGTTAATTTTGATAAGGAAAACCTCACAGGACTAAGTGGTAGAAATACACTGTTGAAAAGAATGGTATTAAAATTGATAAAGCTTTATACAGATACAGGATATTATTACTGCAGGCCTCCCATGTGGAGACAAGGTCTCTAAGCACTCTTTTCCTATTGCCCTACTATTATAGAATGTATAGCAAAATATTCCCAAATTCTCAGTGATACAATTTTCTCTTTAAAAGGAAATGCTTTCCTCATGTAAACTTATACATAGGCAAATAACTTCAAGAAGATTCTTAAAAACAAATCAAACTAAGTTGGATTTGAAACATGGCTGTCAGGTTTACAGTAAAGTTTAGGTACTTCTAAATGTTACCAATATCAACCTTTCTCTGCATAAGTTTCCATAGTGGTACAGTGCAGTGCAGTGAAGTCGCTCAGTCGTGTCTGACTCTTTGAGACCCCGTGGACTGTAGCCTGCCAGGCTCCTCTGTCCATGGGATTCTCCAGGCATGAGTACTGGAGTGGGTTGCCATTTCCTTCTCCAGGGGATCTTCCCAACCCAGGGATCAAACCTGGGTCTCCCGCATTGCAGGCAGACACTTTATCCTCTGAGCCATAGTGGTAGTGAGCAGTAAATTATCTATTGATGTGAAAAAGGAGAGTAGCAAATCCATGAACTATCTCCTCCTCAACAGAGCATGCAGCAATATTCATATACATAAATATCTTGTTAGCTTATTAAAGAAGAAAGTGCTTCAAAGGTAGCTACAGTTCCTGAAATTGCTCATTATTATGGTATCAGTTGCTGTCTATTTGTATCTGATGTGTTTCAGTTCAGTTCAGTTCAGTCGCTCAGTCAAGTCTGACTCTTTGTAACCCCATGAACCACAGCACGCCAGGTAACCCTGTCCATAACTAACTCCCAGAATCTACCCAAACCCATGTCCACTGAGTTGGTGATGTCATCCAACCATCTCATCCTCTGTCGTCTCCTTCTCCTCCTGCCCCCAATCCCTCCCAGCATCAGGGTCTTTTCCAATGAGTCAGCTCTTTGCATCAGGTGGCCAAAGTATTGGAGTTTCAGCTTCAGCATCAGTCCTTCCAATGAACACCCAGGACTGATCTCCTTTAGGATGGACTGGTTGGATCTTGCAGTCTAAGGGACTCTCAAGAGTCTTCTCCAACACCACAGTTCAAAAGCATCAATTTTTCAGCACTCAGCTTTCTTCACAGTCCAACTCTCACATCCATACATGACCATTGGAAAAACCATAGCCTTGACTAGATGGACCTCTGTTGACAAAGTAATGTCTCTGCTTTTTAATATGCTGTCTAGGTTGGTCATAACTTTTTCCAAG